AAATTAAACCGTCCGGGGGAAGCCCCCGCCGCCGCCTTCCCCCGAGGCTTTTAAAGCCGCGGAGGGGCTCCGGCGGCGGGGCATCCGGCGTACAAGACGACCCCCGATTTTTGGGGGATGTTTTTTAACATCAGAGGTCGTCTTGTACGCCGGAATATACGGTAAATCTTTTAAGTGGTTAGCTGTTTTTTTTTAATTCTTTAATCTGTAAAGAATCATGCACACTCAGGTATAGAGGAGGAGATGTAAATATAACTGGTCAAAAAGTTAACATTATTTTTGTTTGTGTTTGTTACACAAAAAAAAATGGCTTTTTTATTAATGAAAAGATTCCTGAGTCAATTTTCTTTTTCCCAGAAGTTTTTTCAGATTTTCATTAAAGAAAACATTGATTTTTTTAAAAAAGGGGTGGTGGTGGAGGTATTTGATTAAGTTTTCCTATAAACACTAGAGATGTTAAATTGTGTTTAATCAGCTAATTGAGTAGTTGATGGAATTTCCATCAATTACTCAATTAGTCAAGAAGGGGAGAAACTGCAGAGCCCGGTGGCTCTTAATACATTTTAAAAGCGGAGGTGTAGCATCTGAGGGTACGTCTACACTACATGCCTCTGTCGGCAGAGGCATGTAGATTTGTTTATTCAGCAAAGGTAAATGAAGCCGCGATTTAAATGATCGCGGCTTCATTTACATTTACATGGCTGCCGCGCTGAGCCGACAAACAGCTGATCAGCTGTTTGTCGGCTCGCCGCTAGTCTGGACGTTCCCCCTGTCGACATCAAAGCCCTTTGTCGGCAGCCCCGTTATTCCTCGTGGAATGAGGTTTACCGGGGCTGCCGACAAAGGGCTTTGATGTCGACAGGGGGAACGTCCAGACTAGCGGCGAGCCGACAAACAGCTGATCAGCTGTTTGTCGGCTCAGCGCGGCAGCCATGTAAATGTAAATGAAGCCGCGATCATTTAAATCGCGGCTTCATTTACCTTTGCCTACAACCCTAATCTACATGCCTCTGCCGACAGAGGCATGTAGTGTAGACACAGCCTGGGACTGGGTGCGAGCCGGAACAGCCGATTCCCAGCTCATGCTTATTTCCCCCCATCTGCGCCTCTGCTCCCTGCGGAGCTGGTGCAGGAGGGAACCGGCTTTTAAGCTGGCTCCCCCCAGCACTGGCTCCCGCTTCCCCCCCCCACCCTCCGCCCCCCCTCTCTCACTACTCATCCTCCCGATAAGCATATACTTATGAGGTAGTTGATTAGTCACTTACATCACCAATAAACACTCAAGAAAAAAAATCTGCAAAAATATCTGACTAAAATGAAAAATATAAATTTTGTCTGAAATACTTGATGGAAAATAAATTACATTTTGACCTGCTTTATTGTTAACGAATTACAGCTACATAGACTTTATTATGAGTGCAAAATACTCAAGGGAGAAAGAATCCCCTTGAACTTTCAGAGGCCACTTTGAGTCTTAACTTTTTACGTTAAAGCTAGGTATTACTCATAGTGCAATTTTTACAGTCTCTTTTAAGTATCTAACCATACTTTAACATAGACTGTACTTTAACTTTATGTTACATGCAACAGAGTTGGACTGTGTATGGGTTGAATAAAATGCAACTGTGCCACTGAAAAGAATGAAAGAGTAACTCAAAGATGTAAATCAAATTGTGGTGACACAATGATCGTAGGAATGACATTTCCAGTGCATGATTCAGATTAAAAACTAAATTATGTATTGAAGAAAATAAGTATGCACAGCAACACATGGAGACCTGTTTACAAAGTGGCAAAAAAGCAACAGATACTTGTGTCAAATAGCAATGAGAGTTAAGTGCTAAAATAGTTTAACCTAATTACTGACAAATATCTTTGCTTGTTCAGTTGCAAGGTGATGCTCCAATGCCCATTAAGGTACCACAATTCTTATCAGCTTTCACATCAGCCTACAGATGCATGATATTAATTATGTGTGTCGTGTACAGCTTTTAAAACAGTACAATTTTTTTTAATCCATCAGTTTGCATTTTATTCAGTTGTCACCATGCAACATATTATTTAAGAATGCACTGAAACAAACTCTTAAGCCTCACAACTAAGCTGCAATAGTTTCTTTGCATATGTGAGACAGAATATATTACAATTAGTAATAAAAAAAGTTTGTGAAATCTTGAAACTTGCTACTGACCCTCTTCAGCTGCTGCTGTAACTGTTCCCTCATGGATTCTGGGCAATTATCAAGCTGGGTCTTCTGCTCGGAGTAAAGCTCCTGAAGCCTCTCTAGTTTTTCCCTTTCAGCATCAAGCTTTATTTTCTCCTGAAGTTTGAACCAGAAAATAAAGAACAGAATTACCTTAAAGCCTAAGCAGTTGTTAGTAATTACAATAATTAATGAACTCTAAAAGCCTAAGTATTTAGTTCAAAGACAGATATTCATTGTTAGTAGAAACTGTAATGATGGAGTGTAAAGGTGACATAAAACAAAAGTTAATCACTGCAGTGGAGTAATTAATTCTCTTTCTAGTCCTTGTTTTTTTTTGCATAGTAGATACAGTCTTCCCTCCCATGCTCAAAAGGCATTGGTTAGCCCTGTCCCATCTTCTAAATCTAATCTAAATCTTAACTAGTAAAAAATGGTGAAGGAAGCAGCAAGTATATTAGTCTGATAATGAGTGAAGTGGGGAAAAAAAGATAGTATGTGCAAAGAGCAGGGTGAACTATAATATATCTTTTGGTCGAACAAGGAAACTGGGACTCTCGAGTACAATTGTGTGTCCACTTTCCAGGTACGTATTAATATATTTAGCAAGCAGTAAAAAGTGAGGCAAATTTTGGTGAAGGAGTATGTTTAGGACAGGAAATTCTGTTTCAGTAGCTCAAACATATTGAACTTGCTCAATTAATCCTGTATGGAACTGTAGCCTGTTCTCTGGGATGCGCATAAGGCTGCTTTACGTACTCCTCCCTGAAAAAAATCAGCTGGATTTTTTTCCTGGATAAATATCCTTTTTGTCTCTCCACAGAAAATGAAATTCTTTAACATCATTTATTCACTTCAGCACCGGCAAACATACCTGGTACATTCCCTGGCCTAAACATTCCTGTAACATGTGGCTAGAAGGAACAACATGTCACAGAGAGCTGCTGGCCTTCTAAAACACCATTTTAAGTCACCTGCTGCTCAGTGTCACTCAGATATTGTTCAATCCCTGCTTCTTTTCCTTCTCTTTGAGCTACACACTGGCTTCTCATTTCCCAGCAGGCCCCCATGTCTTCTTGATATTTTAGGTGCCCTAAATGTTCAGCCTCTTTATTTGAACCTTCCATGGACAGTTGGATTATGCACTGCTACTATAGCCACTTATTTGTCCTCTTCTCCATCTTCTTTCTCTCTGTCTTCTGAAAAGAAGTGCCCCTTTTCAGCTGCTCCTCATGCTTAGGTTTTGCATTCAGTGTACACAATTTGCGTACCAGGAGCAGACACTCACTCACCATGCAAGCAAGATCTTCTGTTACACGAGCACTGAATTTTCTTTCATATTCTCTTCATTGCTACTGAAACAGTGTGCAAACTTTCACAATACCATGGAGACAAGGAAACAAAATTATTTTGCTCGCTGGATCTCTTTATATTCTCCTCACCTCCCAAAATGAGGTAATATCACTTTCCTAAGACAGGCTATTTGTTTTTCTTATGTTTACAATCAGGTCTCATGTGAACTGAAATGCTAGTTTTGATCGTTTTTCAGGCCATGCTATCAGGCCAGTGAATTGCCCAGAACAATGGATGTTTTCACAAAATCATACAAATCTGGAGATCGAATCATTACTTCTGGACTCCACATCCTCACCCCTATTCTCAAATAACATCAGCAGAACTCACAAATATGGGGTAGTCCTGACTTGGCTGAAGTCACACAATAAAACAGCAGCATAGAGTTGAGAGTAGAATTCAGGAGATTCTACAGCTCTACCATAACCAATGTACCTTCGTCTATTTATTGCCAACTGAGATCAATCTGAGATCAATCACCGGCCACCAAACACTCGTCAGATAACTACTTTGTCACTACAAGCCCACAATGCGGCAGACAGCACATCTGTCAGGATCCTGACAAGGGCAGCTGGAACTGAGGTCAGAGCAGAGTCACACCTGAGAGTGAATTCGTAGTCAAGTGTCAGGCTGGAGTCAATATCAAAGATCAGACTCCAAAACAGGTTTCAGGGTTTGAGTCAAGAAGCAAGGTCAAAATCAAACTGAGGTTGACGCCAGGAGGATAGTGACAGCAAGAGATTTCTGTTGTCCAGACACTTCTGGAAGGCGCCTTGGGTTTATATAAGGTGAAGAGCCAATCAGGAGCCAGGAAACTGCTGCCTGTCAGATCTCAAGATGGAATTTTCCATGGTCTGTGTCCACGTGGTTTGCGGATTGAGAGCTGGTTATATTTGCTGCTGCTAGGTGGAAGCATGGTGGTTTCTGGTACTTCTTCAGGACTGGGTTTAAGGTCCAGGTTTGAGGCCCTCTGGGCCTTGCAATGTGTCACATCATGAGTCAACCATCCTCCAGAACAGAAGGGAATCTAAGTATTTCATAAATCAATATCCAGGTCTTCACAACCCTTGCTGTCTATTTCACACGAGTCCTAGACACCATCAGATAGGTATGGGAGGGACAAGAAAGAGAAGAGCAACTTACAGCAACAAGAACTACCACAACCTTGGGCATAGTTTCATTCTCCCGTGCTGTTAGCAGCTTCCTAGAATCCTAACTATCACACTAGCTCATTCATTAATAGGGAAGTCAATCTAAGTGTAAACAGCTAACATCAGCAAGTATGTAACGCACTGAGGACCATGCCAAAGATGTTATTACTGCCATCAATAAACCAGTAAGGTATTACTTGAAGACTGAAAGTAAATGATACCCATCTCTTCTATTTATAACTCAGGAAGTTCTAACATCCCAGCAGATTGGCTCACTTGTGCAATCATAGCAGGAAATGTCACCTTAAGCATTTAGAACAGGGATGGGGAACCTTTTCTGGATTAGGGACCGCTGACCCACAGAAAAATCAGTGAGGGGCCGCACACAAGTGAGAAGAAAAAAAACAAATCCTAATTGATTTGGCCCCCAACTGAGAAGAAGAAGAGACACTCTCCACATTTCCCTCATACACCAAAGCCTAGGAGGGCCCAGCCCAGTAGATTGTCTGTGCTCCAGCCCCACGGTAGTACGGTGGGGGTGAGGACTGGATCACCAGTGTGGGCTCCCCAAAGCTGAGGGGGAGCCCTGAGCTTTCAGAGACCAGATCCAGGCAAGCCGAGGGCCGCATCTGGCCCCGGACATTAGGTTCTCCACTCCTGATTTACAGACATTATATATTTCACAACCGTTTGATAAATACCATCAGTGCTGATGACTTTGCATTGGTTTAGTCCGCACACTGATAGTCTGATAAAGAAGTGACCTGAATAATAATTATCTGCACTTCAGCAGTATCTTTCTCCTAGGATCTGAAAGAGCCTTATAACTATGGATTGAACATAGTGGTCGTGTGAAGATGGCACTGCTGACCAGAAGAGCACACATACTGTTTAAGTAAGTTGTCCAAAGTTGCAGACAGTGAGGGTTTGTCTAAACTACACCCCTCTGTCGGCAGAGAGATGTAAATTAGACACGTAGAAAGGGCAGATGAAGCCGGGATTCAAATATCCTGTGCTTCATTTGCATAATGGCAGCTGCTGCTTTTTTCCGAAATGGGGCTTTTTGAAAAAAATTGCAGGTTTTTTTTTAAAAAAAAGAGAAGTACGGGATCTTTCGAACGGGACATTTCTGTCGAAAATGCCCAATCTAAACTGCCGGTTTTTTCGAAAAGCCCCGTTTAAAAAAAAAAAGCGGCGGCCGCCATTATGCAAATGAAACACTGGATATTTGACTCTTGGCTTCATTTGCACTTTTGATATGTCTAAGTTACATCCCTCTGCTGACAGAGGGGTGTAGTTTAGACACACCCTGACAGAGCTGTGACTAAAACCCATGTGCTCCCACTTCACCCTCCCCCTGCCCCACCGTGCTGCTCTTTAGCCACATAAACATCCTGACTCTAAAGGACTGCTAAGATTTTAAGAGAAAGTTTGAAAAACATGTAGGAGAAAGATACAATTTAAAATGGCATTGAGCTAGCTAATAACTATTCCTTAATATTACCCATACATATATCTGACAATGATTTTAACTTAGTAATATTCACAAGTTTTCAATGCAGACTTCACAATGCTATTCTTTACGGCAGGGGTGGGAAACCTCAAGGAAATGGGTAACCAGCTTGGCTGGATCTGGACACAGAGACTCAAGGCTCCCTCCCAACACTGGGGAACCCGTGCTGGTGCTCCAGCCTCTCCACCCCCACTCCCCACTGCAGAGCTGGAACACAAAATCTACTAGCCTGAGTGCCGCCGCCCCGTGGGTTGGTCAACAGCTTCCAACCCCAAAAAAGGTTCCCCACCTCTGCTTTATGGATAAATACCATGACAATTATTAAATATAGTGAGTTTGGCAGGTTTAAGACAAGAGTTGCTTGCAAATAGGCCTCTGTGGATATGTCTACACAGTAGTTAAAGACACAGGTGATTCTGGCCAAGAGGTTGTATAAGAGGCTGTTTAATTGCAGTACAGACATTTCAGTTTGGGCTGTAGGACTCTGAGAAGTGGGAGGATCCTAGAGCTTTGGCTGTAGCCTGAGCCTGCCTGCACTGGAGTTTAATAGCCTCTTAACCTGAGCCCTGGGAGCCTGGGTTAGCTCACACAGACTGGTTTTCTAAAGAAATGTTCTTTCTTCTCCTTTGCTAGCTGGCCAGTACTTTATGATATCTTTTCATCTGACTGCAGGCTTGTGGGGGAGAGGGAGTCTGGGATGTGGTTAAAGTTGTCTGGCCATACACAGAAACAACAGGAGCTTGTGGCGAGATTACTCAGAATGAAGATCTGTTTAGATCCTTGCTTGCTTTTCAGAAAGCCCTAGGAGAATTTGTTAGGGAAGTACTAGTGATTTAATTGTCTAGACTATTTGAAAGAGATGGTGAGAACCATAGCCTACTGTAAAGTTTTCTATCTGAGAACGGTGTTAAAGGGATGTAGGTTTGGATTGCTGACTCATGCAGATCCTGAGATATTTCACACTGGAACAATTGAATAGGAGAGTAGACTCAGTTGAGATCTTTGGTGAATGTTTAGTATTGCATGTAGTGTTGCTTGCTTGTTTTTAATTCTGTCATGTTTCTCAAGTCAAATAACATTTCTTGGCTACTTTTTAAAAG